TTCTGATTGACTTACGGTTTTGATTTTCTTGAATAATTACTTCTAACTTAGAACCCTATTGATTTTCAGAATTTTCGGTTCATCCTAACTACTTTAATATCAATTTTCTTAAAATCCGCCTATGCAATTCTTATGTGACAATTTTAGGAATTCCAATTATTTCTAACGTCAACATTCCTAATATTCTCAACATTCCATAAATTGCGGACATTCTCTAACGACCTGTCAAACAACAGCTGTTGATAGTAAAGGTGAAATTTCTAAGGCGGGTTGCGACCTTCATACTTGCAACCATAGTCATTTTGAAGGCTATTTTTATTTGAAATTAGTCGCCAAGCCTGCCAATTTATGAAAAATATATAAGCAGTTTCTAAAAAATTACTTTTTTATGGTGGTGCTAACTTAGCGTACTACTATTTCGCCCCTAGCCACAAAAACACCATCAAATTTACTGGTTCTCTGTCGGAACCCCATAGAATAATTAACCGGCTATTTTATTTGGCAAAAAGCCGAATAATGCTTGGCTGTGCCTGTCAAGTATCAAGATGTCAACTCTGATGTGTGAATGGCTCTTAAATGTCAAATTATTTAAAAATGTATACTTCTTTTGATATTTATTGCAAATAATTTGTAGTGTATCTCAATTCAGGCTTTCCATAAATAAAGGTACAGCAAGACAAATAATATAATGTTCTTATATATTATATAAAAGAGAGTTAGGATATAATGCTGGTTTTTTGTAAATAATTTTGGTTATACAGTTTTGAATTATATTTTAAACCAGCGAATTGTAAATAATAATTAGTAAACTCCTAGTCATACATTTCCTCAATTCAACCCATTTCAAATTTTGATCAATTATGATACCGAGGTATTTTGTTGTACTTTTCATTTTAAATAATAAGTTGTCATTTATTTGTATGTTGAAAGAAGGCCTTTGTAAATTACATTGCTCTCTATGGATCTACTTTAACACAAAAATAGTTTTGTGGCTATAAATTGCTATAACCTATCGTCGCAAAACTATTAATAATTTAATCATAGTAAGTAGTAAAACGAGGTAAAAAGAGGGGTAAAATAACAATAAATTAAGGGAAATATTTAAAAAGGGCAGGTTTAAAGAGTATTATCACAAGAAAGTATATCAGTTCTGTTTATTTATCAAGTATTGTTTGAGGTTACTTTTGAATACATTTATTATTGTTTTTTTTTTTAATTTCTGTAGACAGTCTATTAAATTTTTTAAACCTTTAATAAAAATTGTATTTTGGGAACTTTTAGTGATGGCTTGCCGTACATGAAAGTCAGATTGGCTTCTTGTAATATAGTTGTGATATTGTAAATAACATTGAATTTTTTCTAATAGATCTGATGCGATGGATTTATGTAATCTTTATTTTATAAATAAATATCAGTCAAATTTAAATTTTATATTGTTTTATCACGAGAGAAACGAGACGAGACAAGACGAGAGAAAGGCTCTCTCGAACGAGAGAAGCGCTTTCTCGTCGAGACGAGAGAACAGTTTTCTCTCGCCCTACGAGACGAGACAAGAGATGCCACTCTCTCGTCTCGTCTTGTCTCGCGGCATCACTAATTGAATAAGAAATACAAAAAATCATTTATTATCACTAAGCTATTTTGTATTCATTGTACTTACACTTATCGTTTGATTAACCACTATTGCTGCAGATTTCGTTAGTGTTTAGATAGGAAATGTTTTAAACATTTATGTATTTTCCCTGTTTTTTAAAATTTAAAACTTAATACTAAAGTTACATATTAGGTATGCTATATTATGGCATTTGAGTTCAAACTTTTTAATGATTTTGCCAGTAATTTGAGTAGACCAATATTTTTCAAGCTTTCCTAAATTAAAATAAAGTTCCTATTTTGTTTTTTTTTACCTTTTTTATTACCTAAACGATATTTAGTAAGTAATAGGTCATTGATTATGTCCTAAGAGATCAATATCTCAGCTGGTCCATTTTTATCACAAAAACGTTTATAATCCAAGATTTTAAAGGAAATTTATTCTACTTTTTTTGTATAAAGCAATGCCTCTACTCAGAAAGCAATTATAAGAGAAAAGTAAAAAATGGATTTTTTGCTTTTTAATATTTTTATATTTTGTTTTACATAAAAAATTTATATAAATAATTTGATGTGAAATAATAGTATTCTTTACAAAAAAAGTCATACTAACTGAATAAATTTTGCTTCGTTCAGAAAGCAATTATACACAAAAAAAGTTAAAAATGGATCATTTGCTATTTAATTCTTTTTTCTTATAATTTTTCCCAAAATTTTTTTAAATAATTCGATATGAAATCGCATTTACTCTAAGGGTTGCATTTTCACCTCTATCTCCAATTTCCACCCTCAAATTCAATAGCATATTTACTGACCATTTGAATGATTTATGCGATAAAAACCCATAAAAGTGATCATTCCTTTCTTTATTACATATTCAATAGAGTCTGTTATTTGCAAATTGCATTTTTTTTTATTTTAACATTTCTTGAATTAAAACTGGTGAAAATGACTTACACCCTTTTTATATTTTTATCTATATAAGCATTAAATTTGAAATGGTTCGCTACTGATTTGAAGTCAAACATCAAATTTATTATATGGAGCTGGTTATGACTATGTTATGAAGAAACATTCGGGCATACGACTGCAACTTCAGGTGAGTTCTACTCTCGTGAAACGGATTCTACGAATTTGAGGTATCAATTGATCGAAAATGACCGTTCATGACCAATCAGTTATTCCACCCCATTCATGTATGAAATATGTCGTTCGAAGCATGTTTATTCAAAAAACCTCAGTTCGCAAATGCGTTTTTTCGAAAAACCCTAGTACGAAAATACTATATTTCAAACAATTTTACTTGGAAATTATATTTGTAGAGAATTTATTTTTGTTCAAATATATATTTTTAAGAATGTTTGAGATGTCTTACATAAAAACATTAATTACATGGGTAATTTTTCCTATTTCATGTACAAATTTTTTGCGAATCTCCAGATCGTTCAGGTTAGGTATATTAGTTTATATAATTTTTTTATTTTTTAGTTTTATATAAAACTTTTTTGAAAAGCAACCCGTGGTAACTCACGTTAATTAAATTAGTTAGGTTCTTCATTTTTTTTATTTTATGGATTTATTTTTTTGCGTAACAACCCACGATGACTCTAGGCTGCACATGTGAGGTAAATTGCTTATTTTTATTTAAATTTTAATTATATAAAATGTAAAATATCTCTATTTTATTTAATATTGTGTTCGAAATAGTTTTTGATTAATTGCTTTTAATTGCTTTTAATTGATTTTAATTGATTTTAATTGCACTTAATTGCTTTTAATTCTTTTTAATTGATTTTAATTGCTTTTAATTGCGTTTAATTGCTTTTAATTGCTTTTAATTGCTTTTAATTGCTTTTAATTGCTTTTAATTGCTTTTAATTGCTTTTAATTGCTTTTAATTGCTTTTAATTGCTTTTAATTGCTTTTAATTGCTTTTAATTGCCTTTAATTGCTTTTAATTGCTTTTAGTTGCTTTTAGTTGCTTTTAGTTGCTTTTAATTGCTTTTATTTTCTTTTAATTGCTTTTAATTGTTTTAATTGCTTTTAATTGCTATTCATTGCTTTTAATTGATTTCAATTAATTTAAATTGATTTTAATTGCTTTTCATTGCTTTTCATTGCTTTTCATTGCTTTTCATTGCTTTTCATTGCTTTTCATTGCTTTTCATTGCTTTTCATTGCTTTTCATTGCTTTTCATTGCTTTTCATTGCTTTTCATTGCTTTTCATTGCTTTTCATTGCTTTTTATTGCTTTTCATTGCTTTTCATTGCTTTTCATTGCTTTTCATTGCTTTTCATTGCTTTTCATTGCTTTTCATTGCTTTTCATTGCTTTTCATTGCTTTTCATTGCTTTTCATTGCTTTTCATTGCTTTTTCTCAGACAACACACCAAATCCCAGAGGTATCCACAGAATATCTTTTGTGGATATGCAATATATCCACAGGATATATGAAATATCCCGTGGATCTAATATGGATATCCAAATGTCCGTCTATATCCAGAATATAGAAGATATCCTATGGATATCCAGCAAAATATCCAATGGGTATCTTCCAGACAATACAAGAAATCCCAGAGATATCCACAGAATATATTTTGTGGATATCCAATATATCCAGTGGATCTAATATGGATATCCAAATGTCCGTTTATATCCCAGGATATAGAAGATATTCGGATATTCAGCAAAATATGTTATGGGTATCTTTAGTAGAGGTTCATAAGTAACCAATGATTATTGAATAACGTCGAAAGAAAATAGAGATAAAAAATATTTTCAACACTCAAAATATTTTCAACACTCTGCCTTTGATTTTGCCCACTAAGCAGAAAGTCATTCTTATTAGGACTCTTCAGCAATAAATGGAAATTCTCGACTCCAGTCTCTAATGGAGTCTGATTGCGATACCAATTTCGATCGAACTCAGTTACGGCGGGTTGAGCATGAGTAGATATTCAACGAGCGAAAGTGGTATCGCCATCTATACTTAGTAAGCAAAATAAAAAATAACATCTAGGGGATATCCACTATGGTTTGCGTTCGCGCCTAGACTTTGATATATTTAGTAGATGTCCATGGGATATTGAATACACCTAAAAAAAATTAATTTTAAATATCTGAACGGTACTATTAGCCACAATGGCAAGCACAATGGCGTAAAATTTTAAAAAATTTGCTATATAATTACTATTATTTATGGACATTTGCATGTCTATAAATTACATCTCATGGATATAAAAGAGATATCCACCGTGGACTGGACATTCAGTGGATATTGGGATGTCCAGTAGATATCCAAAGGATTTGGTGTGCTGTCTGGGTTTATTGCTTTTCAATGCTTCTCATTAGGTTTTATTAAGTTGTCACGGCTTTTCATTGCCTTTTATTGCTTTTAATTAATTAAAACAAATGACTAAAAAGGAATAATGTATTTAACTTCTACATTTTTAAAAACATATTCGCTTATTCATGTACAATCGCTATCAGAATTAACACAAGATAATACAGATTCATCCCATATGGTCCCGGTAGGACATCTAAGCGGTATCCCACTGTTGTTAGAACACTCAAAGAACTTTCTGCAGCTTGTTGGATCTGCAAGGTAAGTTCCGTTAGGCTTTCCGTTACATATGTCACCTATAAAAAAAAAGATACATTAGCTTTTTCGGCAGGTATGTGATTTTGCCTAAATCAATATTTTTATTACTACCATAAATGTTTACACAAGACTTTTGAGTGAATTAGAAATCCAATAATTTTTCAATCATATTTTTGACCATTGTCTATATATTTTTTGATAATTATTATTAAGTATATAAATATCGTTCTATAACACCACCATAATTTCAATATTTAGGTGTCGCTGAATATGAAGTAATGTAAACTTCGATACGAGTTTCCAAACAAGATAACCTTGTGAGATACAATGGATATACTTCCCTAGTTTTCATTCCTACACTTATCTGTAACGTGTGGAGGGTGGGTTACCCCCACGGCACTTAGGCCTCATTAGGCTCATTGTGCATCCTCCTAAGATGATAGGCACCTCCTAGCTCGTCAGCCAGCCTACAGATTTAATGTAGTTGACAACGTCGCCAAGAGGTGCTTCTCTTATATCGGCCAGTGTTAGCCGATACTCGCCGAACATAAATCTTCTAATAAATGAGAGCGTCGGGCAATCGTAAAGGATATGCTCGATGGTCTCATCTTCTTGTTCGCACCCTCTGCAGAATGCGGATTCTAACAGCCCCATGATATGGAGATGCTTCCGTACTTGGCAATGACCAGTCAGAATGCCTGTGACCAGACGCAGATTCTGTCTAGTCATAGTCAAGTATTTGTTTGCTGCAGTGTTGTCAGGATAACTTAAGAGCTCCCTGGCAACTCTGCAGTTACTTGTTTTATCTCATCTTTCCTTGAATTTTACAAGGGAATGTTCTTTAATTAGGTCTGTCACTACCGATTTTGTCAGGCCAATAGAAGGGCCAGGTCCAAAAAGTATTTGGTTGGCTGCTTTCTTGGCTAGTGAATCGGCAAGACGGTACCCTTTAATGTGGCGTGACCTTTAATTCATCTTAAGGTGACCACATTGTTGATGGATACTTCGGCCAAAGCTTCATGACATTCTAGTACTAACCCTGAATAAATTCGTCGTCTTTCAGGGTGAGTAGTGCTTGTCTGCTATCTGTATAGATGAGCATGTTCCTTCCAGTGATATTATTTCTGGTTATTTCTTTTGCTGCTATGAAAATCCCCGTTAGCTCTGTTTAAACTACACTGGCACTATTGCTCACAGCCCATTTTATGTTTAGGTTTAAGAATCTGTAGTATATTCCGCATCCTGAGCCTTGTTTTGTTTTAGAACCATCGGTGTAGATATGAATCGTACCTGTCACTTCTGGCTCTTCTATTTGTTCTATTATAACTTTATATGGCTTATGGAAGCAGTGGGAGCGTATCGAGCGCCTCCTGCCAAAAATGACGTCTCGCCTCACCAGATCCTACATCAGGTTCTATTCTGACCGTGCGGAGGCGTGTCATTGTCGTCAGAGCTTGTAAATATCAAGGGGAGTGAGACTAAGAATGACTTCCATAGCTCTAGTCGGTGTTGTTTTCATAGCTTCTGTTATGTTGAGACATGCTGTTCTTTGAATTTGTTCTAGTTTACGGATAGCTGTTAATTTTTAGGTTTTCGGTACCCAAACAACTGCACCGTATGTTAGCATAGGTCTTATGATAGCCGTGTAAGTCCATCCGACGACTCTGGGGGAGAAATCCCAGGTGCGTCCCACAGTACGGCGGCATTGTTCATAAGCAGTGTTATGCTCTTTTAACTCATTAGAGTACATGGCTACTCTTTATGAAAAAATAAAAAAAAATGATAAATTTCTTCACTATAAAAATGATTTTACATTAATTATAGTAAATTCATGAAAGTCTGTACTGTGTGTGTTCATGCGAAAACTTCAGATGATTTAATTTCTGGTAATATTTAAGTTGGAATCTTGAATTTTGTCTTTTATATTAATGTAATATACCATTTCATGTAATTTGTACAAATTAGATAGAAATCGTGTGCGACACAACAATGATTTTCAAATGCGACTTATTGGGTAGTGTGAATAAAAATTAAGCATTTGCTTTTACTTGAAAATTGGTAACAAATCGTGCTTATTTTCCAAAAAATAAAATTTTTAGCTAAAATTGGGGAATATATTAATTAGAGACTATAAGAACTTTAATTAAAGTTTAGAAATTTTATAAGCACCATTTGTTACTCATTTTTAAGTAAAAGCTTTTACTTAATGTTTATTCTCACTACTCATTACTTTAACTCTGACAACTATATCGTTTCAATCTTAAGTATATATTAAATGTATACCAAATTCTAAATCACCTGATAAAATAGCATCATTATGTTCATCATATTTTTTATATTTTCTAACTATGGCCCTTCACAAAGTATTGTATGACACTCGTGTGTGAAGTGCTTTTGCGGACTCATTGTTTATGGAACTCGATAGATTAATGCTGCTCTTTCGCCAATATTAATTGAAATAAAATTGTATGCTTTAATTATTTTATCAGAGGTTCCACTGGTATAAATTATTTAAATTAGTTATTTAGGACATTGACATTTAAGTTTCATATTATATTTTATCTATGACCATACTTTTTAGGAAATAGAATAAATATTATAAACAATTTTGTAAAAATCATGAAAAATTTCCAACAATTTTAAATTTTCCGAAATTAGTTTTACAAAATGAAATGTGTACCTGGTTTTTCTGTTGTCGTTGTAGTAGTTGTTGCTGTTGCTGTAAATAAAAGTTTAAATTAGTATAGATTACCTAAAACTTATTTAGCTGGAAGGCGTAGTATTAATGAGTAGAGTCCTATTGCAATAAGAAGAACACCGCTACGTCATAATCATTATTTAATTTTTCAAATATACAGGGTGGCTCACGCTCAACGGGACGGAGCTTTATGGGAAAATGACCAAAGATATAAAAAATTCGTTTGGGAGGAATACGTAGGTTACAGACGGCTACAATTTAAAATTTGTTAGATGTATACAGGATGTCCCACATAAGAAAAAAAAATTAGTTCATTAAAAATTATTCAAACAAGAGTAAACAATTAATTTCTGGGAGACTTTTTTTCCTTAAAAATTCAAATAAATCGAAAACTAATAATATTAGTAATAGGGAACCTTTAGTTAACTGACATTATTTTTGATGTAGTTTTTAATTCTAAAATAAAAAACAGGGTGTTCCATTAAAAATAATATAACTTTGTATATTTTCTCTTATGTAGGACATCCTGTATACATCTAACAAATTTTAAATTGTAGCCGTCTGTAACCTACGTATTCCTCCCAAACGAATTTTTTATATCTTTGGTCGTTTTCCCATAAAGCTCCGTCCCGTTGAGCGTGAGCACCCTGTATATCATCATAATTATCAATAAATAAAAATAAGTAATACATTTTGTATATTTGCCATTAAACACCCAGTAGGCGGCGATAGCCAATTAATTACTTCGTTCGCCAAATGATGACGTTGCTGTGTTCCTCTTATCGTAATTTGACCCTATGAGGTATAGCTTGGGGTATAACATCTACGTATGTGTGCATACATTTGTAGATGTTATATCTAAGCATCAAAGTAAACGTTAAATTTAGGGCCGTTGTTTCGGAAAGGATTCGGCAAGCAGAATGGTGCCTAAAAAGGAAATTGTGAGCAAATCCGGCGAAAATTATTGATGCAAGAAATAAAGGAGATTTTAAATGTAGGGCCTACACCTAAAAATGTCAAAGGGGTCTATTCTGTAACAATTCCTTTATATTTAACGGCCTTTAAAAATATTTTCTTCTTTACTTCTGTCATTATTTAAACAGATTTTTAAAATACATTAGAGGACTATCTTAAAGAAATCTGTTTAAATAATGACATAAGTAAATTAACGAATACAAATATACTTTTAAAGGCCGCCAATATTTTTAAAGGCCGTTAAATATAAAGGAATTGTTACAGAATAGACCCCAAAGGGAGTTAAATATTTTGGAATCACCCTTGATGACAAACTTAGCTTCTGCATCCTTATAAAAAAAACAGCAGAAAAAGCTGTAAGAGCGCTGTGTGCCTGTAGAAAGTTGGTATGGAGTACATATCAAGGGCCACGATGCAGGACCTCGTAACTAACATTTCCACTGAAAATTATATTTTATGATAATCTCGTTTAAAACATTTCGCTCCATCTACTGTGTAGTGGAAGTATTACAATTTTTGTACAAAATATGGGTAAATAATAGTCCTTTTATAGAGTAAAATGGATTGTTCTATGCACTTATAAATTGTTTTTTTATCACCTGAAAAATGTTGATTACGAGGTCCTACCTTGTGGCTCTCGATATAGTGATGAACTTAAATAATGGGTCCTATGATTGAACGTTTATGTTATCCGTAACGTACATGTTAGGCCGAATTTTAAAAGTAACGAGGCAAGTTCGTATGATGGAAACCTGTTAAATTAGAACATAACAGGCGGAAAATAACAGTAATGTGTTATGAAAGACTTTACATCATACAAACTTGCCTCATTACTGTTAAAACTCGGCCTAACATGTACGTTACGGATAACGTAAACGTTCAATCATAGGACCCAATGCCTATTACATTTCAGCCTTGTCTTAAAAATAATCTTTATGCAGTCTCTTTTAGAGACACCGAACGTACACAGTCTTAGAAAACAAAATATCCCTGTTCCCAGTGTTCGTATCTTTAGTTCATTCGAACATTTCATACGGTTTACTGACAGTAATAAAGTTCATCAAAAAACCAAAAAATTAATAAACACCTCGATAAGTTTAAGTCGTAAGATAAAAAAAAGTGACATAAGATATTTAGAGAAATTATCATAAACGGGGACAGTGATAACAATTCAATAGCGTCAAATGTCATAATACAGCCTCACAGTAGACGTAAACTCACGTTCCTTCGGGCATAAATAAAAAACCAAATATAAGGTACCTGTTAAGTGTGCCTTCCAGTTTTTAGTAACCTTTTGTTACAAAAAGAACCCAACTCAGTGTAAACATGTTTAATGATATTAACGAGACATGGAGATATATTCGAATACGACGGTTATGAGCCATGGACTCATTCCTGACTGTGACGTCAGTCTGATAGTAAATCACTTTATTTATGTGTATTCGATTATGAGTTTGATCGACATACCAATTATGACATTGGATATGTGCTACAGTCAATATATTCGCTCAGTGCGAAGTCATGGTAGGGGAAGCAAAAGCGATACTAGCGAAGAAACGGGAGGGTCCTGGCAAGAGGCTAGAGCAAAGAGGATTTTGCTTTTTTTTTAGAAATGTGTTTAGGGTTCTTACTGCGAAGAAATCAAAGATTTCCCGCAGGCAGCGAGGCTTCAAAAAGCTCTCTCAAAAGATCCACACCAAAGCTTTGGTGCGCTAATTAAAGAGGATGGCACGAAAACTGCCAACCTCGAAGATAGCATCAAACTTCTGCTGTCAACACACTTCTCTTAATCGGTCATCACAGACGTGTCGGACTGAGCAGAGGAAGAACACAATCCATCTGTCTATGATTGGCAAACTGCCAAACACGTTGTAGACGATGAAAAAATTAGATAGGCAATATCCAGCTTCTCTCCATTTAAATTGCCAGGACCTGACGGTATCTATCCAGCCCTACTTCAGTGGGGCCTGGAAGAACTCACACCGCACCTGGTGGGTATATTTAGATCGTCGTTGGCTCTGAGGTATATCCCCAAAAAATGGAAAGAGTTAAAAGTGGTATTTATACCCAAACCTGGAAGAATGGATTACACTGTCCCAAAAACATACCGACCAATTAATCTGACATCTTTTTCCATGAAGACTTTGGAAAGGCTATGCGAAAGGTACATAAGGGATGCGGTGATTACAACAACACCACTACTGTCAGGATAGAAAGATCCCTGAACAATAAGGAGTCCGCCTTTCATAGACGTAGAAGGTGCTTTTGATAAAACCGCCTTCCCAAAGATAATACACTCACTAACCAACAGGAATGTTCCACATATGATTCGTGGGTGGATACATCACATGCTCTTAAAGCCAGCAGTAAACATAGGTGTAGAAGATGTGAACATAAAAGGCTTAATTGCGAGGGGATGTCGACAAGGAGGGGTGCTATCACCTCAACTATGGAATATGGTCCTCGACACCCTCATTAGTCGCCTCAATAATGACAGTCACTACACAATAGCATTTGCAGATGACCCGGTCATTCTGCAAACAGGGAATTTTAAGAACATACTTCGCGAAAGAATGCAAGTAGCTCTAAAAATTATCGAACAGTGGTGCAAGGACCATTCACTGTCTATTAATCTATTAATCCTAAGAACACAGAAATGGTCTTTTCACAAGGAAAAGGATGAAAATGGAATTAAAACCTCCGGAACTCCTAAACACAAAACTAAAATTTGCAACAGAGGTGAAGTACCGAGGTCTCACCTTTGACAGCAAGTTAACATGGAACTCGCATTTAGAAAACAGAGTTAAAAGAGTATACATTGCTTATGAACATTGCCGCCAAACCGTGTGGCGAACCATAGTCGTCGCATGGACTTACAAGACTATCATAAGATCTATGCTAAAATACGGTGCAGTTGTCTGGTTATCGAAAATTAAAAAATTAACAGTTATCTGTAAACTAGAACAAATTCGAAGAACAGCATGTCTCAACATAATAGGAGCCATAAAAACAAAACCAACCAGAGCCATGGAAGTCATTCTTAGTCTCACTCCCCTTGATATTTACATCAAGAAGGTTGCTCTGACGACAATGACAAGCCTCCGCATAGTTGGAATAGAACCTGATGTAGGATCTGGTTAGGCGAGATGGCGCTTTTAGCAGGAGGCGCTCGATACGCTCCCACTGCTTCAAGCGAACATGGACTCCATCTCACCAAGATATATCTTCCATAAGCCATATAAAGTTATAATAGAACAAATAGAAGAGCCGGAAGTGGCAGGTACGATTCATATCTACACCGACGGTTCTAAAACAAAACAAGGCTCAAGATGTGGAATATACTCCAGATTCTTAAACCTAAACATAAAATTGGCTGTGAGTAATAATGCTAGTGTAATTCAAACAGAGCTAACGGGGATTCTCATAGCGGCAAAAGAAAATAACCAGAAACAATATAACTGGAAGGAACATGCTCATCTATACAGATAGCAGACAAGCACTACTCACCCTGAACATACTACGAATTTACTCAGGGTTAGTACTAGAATGTCACGAAGCTTTGGCCGAAGTATCCATCAAAAATGTTGTCACCTTAAGATAGATCAAAGATCACGTCACATAGAAAGGTAACCGTCTTACTGATTCACTAGCCAAGAAAGCAGCCAACCAAATAGTTTTGGGACCTGGCCCTTCTATTGGCCTGACAAAATCGGTAGTAACCGACCTAATCAAAGAATATTCCCTTGTGAAATTCCAGGAAAGATGGAATGAAACAAGAAACTGCAGAGTGGCCAAGGAGCTCTTAAGTTATCCTGACAACACTGCAGTAAACAAATACTTGACTATGATTAGACAGACTCTGCGCCAAGTTACAGGCATTCTGACTGGTCATTGCCAAGTACGAAAGGATCTCCATATCATGGGGCTGTCAGAATCCGCACTCTGCAGAGGGTGCGAACAAGAAGATGAGACTATCGAGCATATTATTTACGATTGTTCGACGCTCTCATTTATTAGATTTGTGTTCGGCGAGTATCGGCTAACATTGGCCGATATAAGAGAAGCACCTCTTGGCTATGTTGTCAACTACATTAAATCTGTAGGCTGGCTCACGAGCTAGTAGGTGCCTATCATCTCAGGAGGATGCACAATGGGCCTAATGAGGCTTAAGTGCCGTGGGGGTAACTCACCCTTCACACGTTACAGATACAGACAGAGTTCTCCGTCAAATATTTCATTTTTCAAAAAGGTTCTGTGACCAAAAAAGTTTGAGACCACTGTACTTTTTAAAAGAAATTCTCGAAAAAAGTCAAAATTTTTTGTTGTCCTTAAAACCGGTATTCGCCTAGAAGTAGAAGTCTAGAAAATATCTGCATCTGAATTGAATATCTAAGATTTGAAAAGAAAAGAAGAATACTGAAAATTATGATATTTATAGATAGAGTTTAGTTTAATATTTAATAATATTTAAGAACTAAATAAAATGTAGAGGAACCCTTTTTATAAAGAATGAGGATATTTCATAAAAAAAAATCGAAAGAAATGAGCCAAATCCGCAAAATCAGCAAAACAATCTGTAACTTAGTTATAAAGATAGTAGAAAACCATTAAATATGTATAGCATTTTTAGAAGCTATATACAGGGTGTCCCATTAGTGCGCAATTGTTCAATATTTCAATTTGTGTAATAATAGACACGCAAGCAAGTTTAAAAAAATATTTTTGGATATACAGGGTGTTTCGTTTTTGCCTGGCTAAAAAAAAGTATGTTTTTTTAAATAGAACACCATGTATTTTAAATTATTTTCAGAATGGTTTAGTAATACTGTATTCAACTATAAAATGTTTTTAAAAAATATTACAATGTTTCCAAGCAATTTTTTTTTGAAATTAGAGAATAATGCAGACCCCAAATTAATTTATCATAATTTAGGTAGGTTTAAATTGATTTCAAAATTATTTAATATACTTATAAGATACTAAGCTAATGAATAGTGGTGATAGAACTGGTTTATTTTATACAGAGTGTTTTGAAACATGTCTTAAATATGGCTAATTTTAAGTTCAATTTACTATTTTTTTCAAATTAGCCATATTTAGGACATGTTTCAAGATACTCTGTATAAAATAAACCATTTCTACCACCATTATTCGTTAGCTTAGTAACTTATAAGTCTATTTTTAACAATTTTAAAATCATTGTAAATCTACCTAAATAATAATAATAATTTAATTTGGGGTCTGCATCATTCTCTAATTTCATAAAAAATTATTGCTTGGCAAACCTGTAATATTTTTTAAAATTCTGGGGTAGAACACAGTATTACTAAACCATTCTAAAACTAAAATAAAATAAATGGTGTTATATTTAAAAGATATACATTTTTATTTGCCAGACAAAAACGCAACACCTTGTATATTCAAAGATATTTTTAAAATACGTACTTTCTAAATCATCATAACGTTATTTAAATCTTGTTTGCGTGTTAATAACACAAATTGAAATATTAAACAATTACGCACTAATGGGAGACCCTGTATAACATATATTTACCATTACCATATTTTCATTTAACTATAAAACACCCTAAAACAGTTAGAATGGTGTAATAAACTTAACTACACTTATGCCTTATTAGGGAGTTTGTGCAACCTCCAGAAACAATAATTTTTTTATTAATAGTTAATAATCAAAAATACAGTATGATCATAAAAGGCAACTAAAAAATTGGTTAGTTGAAAAAAATCATCAATATTTCACTACCTGCTGTTACTCGTGTTAGTCCATATCTTTTGTTTATGTCGTTTTTTTTTGTCATCAATGATTGAGCGGTGGGAGAAGTATATTTTTTCTTTTTTGCAAGCGTAAGCCAATGAAAAGAATTAAAAGTAGATTTTTAAAAACAATAGCAACAACACAATATATATTTCACTAGAGGGTGTTTTATATAACATTTGGGTATTTTTTGTCAAGTATTTCGAATAGAATGATGATAATTATGGTTGGTCGACACCCTTAATGAATTACCCTATATTAAAATAAAGTTGATATACTTACATGGAGTGGATTTAGTTGAAGGTGTTGGTTTTCTTGCTGTAAATTTCAAAATTTAATTAGTAAGAACATTCTTTTAGATAATTATTAGATTTAATTAAATAAATACCATTTTCGGTTATAAGGTGTTAAAATTTCTAGTATGACATTTTGTTCATCGTAAAATGAGAAACAAAACATTTAGAATAAATTACTACTAAATCATTAATGTTTTCAGGGGGGGGGTGTAACCCCTAATCATCCCCCCTTGAGAACGTCATTGATCCTTCCCAGACAAACATTTACCCGTAAGGAACTGATTCTTCCCTGACAAAAGTTTACCCGTGAGGTTTAAGGTTGTAAATTATAATGAAAACAATTTTAATAAATAGAAAAAAAATTTTAAAGATAAGTTTCAATTCTAATTTCTATTTTCAAGCAATCAGTACTTACTTGTGGACTTTGTAATTGGTCCTGGCGTTGTGGATACATCTGCAACAAATTTTAAAATAACCATTACAATAATTGGAAACTTTATTTTTACCTAATAATTTATTTTCACCTGGTACATTATTTGTCATACCAAATATTTGTCCTACTCTTATAATTTTTTAAGTAGTTTTCTCTTTAATTTGATATTTTCAATATTATTAATTATATTTCTGACATTGTCCTCAAATGTTGTATCTAACACCCAGGCAAATATCTTTACTCACAGCTGTAATATTGGTCATCTAACTAAGAACACGTCTTTCGGTATTTAAAATGTTTGTACCGATATTAATAGCATCATCTAAAATATATTACCTTTAGTTGACTTATAATTAAACGTTTAAAAAATGTTCTTCAAAATAAATGGTTTCGATTTTCGGTAGAATTTATTCAATACTTTGAATATTACTTAATACAACTCAGTACTTTATTAATTTAATTAAAATAGCATTTTTTTAAAGCACACAAGGTAAAGGGATTTGTTTATAACATTTATAAGATTGATTCATTACTGAGACCCCCCTATCTATGCGGCCTTGGTGCATTGGTGCCCACATTTTAACATTTTCCCCTACCTTCCAACTCAAAATGCAAAAAATGTCTTCTGTACATCTGTGCTGACACGATAACTCTAGAACGATCAACTTGCGGTTCTTGATTTTCAGAATTTTCGTTTTAATTTAGGGCTTTAAATATTATTTTTTTTTATTGTGGTGCATTTCTTATTGAGCTTATTTTATGCATTTATTATGTAGCTTATTTAATGCACTTCAAGACCCTTGCATTCTTAGTGATTTTACTATACAGTGCTTTTCAGATAAAAGTATCCACCTTAAACAACTTTTGAAGGACTGATTATTACAAAAATCATAAAAATAAGTTAATTGATATTCGAAGGGGGAGCTATTGTACCATATTTAGATTTGCTGAAAACGTCATCCTTTCACCTATTCAATTTTTTAAATGGCCTACTCCATTTTATCCATTTTGGATTCCTCTCGGTTAACTGATTTCAATGTATGGGGTTTAATGTAATTAGTTTATGATGTAGAGCAGGGGTTCTCAATCAGTAGGCCGCGACCCCCAGGGGGTCACGGGACGGGTCTGAGGGGGTCGCGAAAGAAGGTAATAAATAAAAATAAAAAGCATTCAGGGCACAGATACCATAAGAGCGGCGGATAATAAATGAAGCGACCATGTATTTATTTAGAACCTGAGTTGAGTCCGCTTGTTTAATATCAACTGTAACCAATGCAATACAACTTTAAAACACAACTATGATTAACAAAAAGGAGCAAGTGGAGCTATAAATGACTTAACAGCGCTGCTAAAAATGATGGTGCCCGCTGCGCTGCTTGTATCGTAACGTAGGCCTTATTGTTGTTAGACAAAAGTTGTTTACTCAAAAAAGACACACTAAACAAAATACATTGCGAAATTTGCTAAAAAATACTCCAGCAGAATGATTTAATGAGAAACTTGCTTGCTTGGAATTAACTAATTGTTGAATATCTGGGTTGATTTCTGTCAAACACAAAATAATATCATTTTCCAGTGCCAAACGATTTCTTGATTTTGTTTCTTATTTTACCATTGTGGAAAATCCTTTTTCACAATTGTAAGAAGTAGAGAAATGTGTCAAAAGCTTCAACGTTACTTTGGTCAATTCTGGGTGTTCCTTCTTTATACTTAGTCAAAACTTGTCGGGATAAACATCGTCAAAAGTAAGTTTCATTGACTGATCACTTGGAGGCCAGCATTTAGTTCAGCTTTTTGAACAGCTGTTACAGAAAAAGGTTTTGTTATCCACATAGATCCACTTGTATCTTTAACAGGAATATAATCATTTAATTGCTTTATTAAGCCTGGTAATGAGAGAGATGATGTGTCAATGGATGTTGTCACCAATACTTGAGACATACTTGTGTAAGTTGAAAATGTTTAAAGTTTTCATTCTTTTTTCTTGTGTTGCAAAGAGTAAGTTTTCTTTCAAATGCATTTACTCGGTCTTAAGCATACATAATTGTTGTGTCTGGTCCTTGTAGGGATAAGTTCAACATGTTGAGATAAGAAAAAATATCAGCTAAGTAAGCAAGTTTTATCAACCTAAAAAAAAAACGAAAAAGTTCAGCAACCATTCTGATTTCAATAAAAACAGCCTACTCAAAACGTTGTCCTGGGACAGCCATCTCATTTTGGTGTGGAATACCAAATGTTTGTGCTGGGCTCCTACCTCTTCACACAAGTTTTCAAGTAATCTAATCTGCAATGGGCGACTCTTGAAGTAGTTAACAACTTTGATAGTCTCAGCCAAAACTTGACGCAAGTCATCTGGCATTTCTTAAGCTGCCAAAGTTGTCTATGTAAAAAACAATGCACCCAGTTTTGTATTTGGCATTAAAGTTTTTAACCTGGCAATCAAACCACTGTTTTTTCCCGAAACACATTTGTTCCAATCAATTTCAAAAGGTTCAGTTGCTTTAGTGAATACTTTAAAAAGACTTTCATCTGTGGCATGGTCTGGCAAAGATTTGCAAAATAATACATTTTCGTTAATAGAGTGACCACAATTATACCTAATAAAGCACAAGAACTGAGCACAGTTAGCAACGCCATTTGATTCTTTTTTTTTATTATACTACCCAACAGATAAATCCAATTAAAGGGTAGGAAACCTTACAGATAATAATAATAATAATACAAATATGAACAAATGGCAACTATACAACAAAAAAATAAAAATAATAAGACATATTTACAAATAAGTACACAATATATATATTAAATAGTCATTATACGTTTTATTGAAGCAATGCTGCAGGAAAAAATATCAAGTGATGAACCAATTTTATTATAGCAGTTGCATATTCTATACAAAGGTGAGTGATTTTGTATGTTAGTCCTCGCAGTTGGTAAATAGAGGAATTTACTCTAGACGTAATTCTAGGTACAAGAAAGTTAATCATACTTAAGACCTCGGAGCAGTCAATAGATGCACTTATGACTTTGTGAATAACAATTAATCCTGCAATGTCACGCCCATCTTCCAGTGATTTTTCAAAAAATCTGCTAAGGGGATTTTTGTAGGGGTATCCGATAACTGAATAGAGACCATCTTCTTTAAAACCAAATATTTCAAGCAACTACGCTGTACTCGTTCTAATGTGGTAATTTAAATATTATGTGAGGGACACCATATGACAGAGGCATATTCTAGTTTAGAGCTCACATAAGAATAATATAATAGTAACATCGTAACTATTACTCAAGACGTGAAACAGTCGACTGGCAGCTAGGCTTTTTTCATAAAATAATCGGTAAATATCGTCGATATTTTTTATTCTTCGATATATTTTTTAATTAAGTTTAGTATAAGGTTTGTTCCAGCAGCAGTACAGAACCGTTCTGAATTTATCTGCGTATGAGTAGTATGAAAAATAGAACAGTTAAATCTTACTGCTCATGCGCAGATACATTCAAAACGGTTCTATACTGCTGTTGGGACATACCTATATTTTGTGTATCTGTGGTGACTAGGGACTTTTGTGTCAACTGTTAATTGTACCGTGTGACGACTTGTGTTTATAATTAAATGTTTTGATATCACTTTTAGGTCATCAAACACGCTTTTACAAAAAATGGCGATATATTGATATATCGATATTTTTACTCGATAATAATCGATACAGCTTAAAAAATCGATGCGATATATATCGATATTTTTTTCACTTGCCCATCCCTACTGGGGCATCTATCTTGCTTGTCGGAGGATGAGTCGTGCCGTGCGATGACTGCACTGCGCGCGCAGCTCCATGTCAGGCTATGTCTCCGCGGCTATAAATACACCACGCGTCAGGTCTGTAAATACACCACACGTAGTCCTTGCCTGGTTTGATATTGAAGAATAGAAAATGATTCAAATTACTTTCATAATACTATTATAACCAGATCGTTAATTAATTATTAATAAATTAGTGCTCACCAACGTCTTGTTAATAAAGTTTTGAACCGTGTGGTTTTTTTACTATTGTAACATGTTTTATAACAATTAATTATTGCTGTCTTTTTTTGTATGGAAGCCTACTTGACGATGTTACTAGAAGGGGGCATCTAAAATTCTCAACCTAAAAAGGGGGGTCGCAGCGTTGAAAAGGTTGAGAACCTCTGATCTAACAGGTTTCTTCATTTCAGTGACAAATTTTTACATCTCACCTTACCGACTGCAGCAAAATTGGATTTAGAATACATTGGGGTCTATTCTGTAACAATTCCTTTATATTTAACTGCCTTTAAAAATATTGGCGGCCTATAAAAATATGTTCGTATTCGTTAATTTACTTCTGTCATTATTTAAACAGATTTCTATACTATAGTCCTTTAATGTATTTTAAAGATCCGTTTAAATAATGACAGAAGTAAAGAAGAAAATATTTTTAAAGGCCGTTAAATATAAAGGAATTGTTACAGAATAGACCCCATTATACCTTAATCGTACCGCTAAAAACTTGCTGAAGTTTTTTTATGAGAGCTGGTAGAGGTTTTGGAGATTTGAAAAATGAATTTATATCACTTTTGTAGTGTGTATTTATTTGATTTTCAAATGATTTAAAGTTTACAAAAAAGAATTGAACTTGTAGGTTTATACTCCACAAATAACAGTTCTGCACAAGTTGCTGCAAGACTTTTCAATAAAATTATATGAACTGGGTCAGTTGGAAATAGAAAACATAACCGACTGGGACTCGTAAGTAACGAAGCAATCGAAGTCACAGTTTTAGGACAAGTAAGTCTTGAAAATCAACAACCACAGACATTGTCAACAATAAGCAGAGAAGTAGGTGTTTCATCTTCCACAGTTTACACAAGCACAAGTTTCACCCATATAAAATTAAATTGGTTCAAGAGTTGTATGAAAATGAACTTGATCGTCATCTTGAATTTGGGGAATTATTCAGTCAACGCTTGAATGACAATCCACATTTGTTGCACAACCTTTGTTTTTCGGATAATTGAACATTTTTAGTGAATGGTTTAGTTAATAGACATAATTGCAGATATTGGGCTGAGAGTAATCCACATGTTGTTCGTAAATCCCACCCACAAAATCCTCTAAAGTTAAATTTATGGGGTGTTATCCTAGGTGACCACATAGTCGGACCTTCCTTTTTAGACGGAAACTTAAATGGTGAATCGTATCTTGAGTTATTAAGAGAAGTAATTGATCGACGTATTAGAACACTAATACAAAATGATCATAACCTTTTTGAAGATTTGATTGTATTTCATCAGAATGGATCACCCCTTTGCTTTGCCTGTACGACAATTTTTAAATGAAACTTTCTCCGCTCGTTGGATAGGTAGAAGAGCCTCGATGATGGAGTAGCCACTTAGATCACCGAATTTAACACCCCTAGACTTCTTTTTATGGATTATTTGTAAATAAAAATTTATGCAAACCAACCAAAATCTTTAGAAGATTTTCGACAAAGAATAGAGTATAAATGCCGAAATTTAAATGCAGACGTGTTCGATAATGTCAAAGAGGCTTTTCAAACTAGCTTATACCATGGTAATTTTGAACAATTTTTATAAGAAAGTTTAAAACTGAAATATCATTGAAAATACTTGTGATAAAATCATTAAAATAAAAGTTTTACACAATTCAATTTTATTTTAAAAAATTGAAGTGATTATTCTATATATTGCTGCCTTTATTTTAAAAGATTTTATTTGAGTAGTTATTTATTGTAAGTGAAAGTGGATAAGTGAAAATAATAGTTTTAATATATTAAATAAATGTAGATCTTACGTGAATAACAAGTAGTATTATGAAGTAACGGTTATGTCTGTACATCCTTTGACGAACTACAAAATAAAACTTGCATCTGAATTTGAAATAAGGATCGAAAAGGTAAAGAACACAAATATAATTTTACATGGCATGCTTAAGGGGTAACAATTTCAAATAATAATATACAGGCGAGCTTAATAAAGGACCAAATACTTTTGCATATATAGATTTTTAAGGATCAAAATATTTTTATATGGGTAAACTTAAGTGTTTTTACATAAACAAGCTTAAGGGGAAAATTCACCAAATGTTCTTACATAGGCAGGCGTACCTAAGTGATAAAGGATCCAAATATTTTGATATGGGAGGATTAAGGGATAAAAGGACCAAATATTTTTAAATGAACAGTCTTAAGAAGTTTGGGTTGCTTTTAATTATTGGTAAATCAATTGAATTGATTTTTTTTTAATAATAATCCTATGACATAGTGCCTAAGTAAATAATACAATAGAAATTTATTCAATACCTAAATATTTGATAACAATTCAATAACAATGCTAATAGATTGTGTAGATACTGAAATTGCAAAATACCAAGAGAGAACATATATTTTCATTTCTTATTATTGGTTACTGGAAATGTAATTGTACAAACAGATGCAAGTTTTTAATGATTTACCTCATTTAAATACACATTTTTTGATTCATTATTAAAGTAAGAACAGTCCTGAATCGGTAAATAATGTAAGGATGTATCCTCACTATTTTATGTAAATGTAAAAGTGCTAAAACATACGAGTGTCGTCGGTTTTAACCCATTTCATTGGTCGAGTCAACCGTTGACTCGACAAAAGTTTGATTTAGAAATAAAAGAATAGTTAAGGCCGCAGTATCACTGTATTTTTCATATAAGAAGCAAGGGTTCACCATTTCCGATTGCACTTAAATCCTGCTAAATGTATTAAAATGAATCTTCTACCAGCTTAAAATATAAGGTTTGGAGGGTGGTCCATAAATGAGATGTTAAATAAATTTAACTTGGATTTAATCACTTGTTTTTCAAAACACACTATATAAAATAATCCAGTTCTATTACCACTATTCGTTAGCTTAGTATCTTATTACTACATTAAAAAATTAAAATCATTGTAAACCTACCTAAATTATAATAACTTAATTTGGGGTCTGCATCATTCTCTAATTTCATAAAAAAATAAATTTATTGGCAACCCTGCAATATTTGTTAATAAAATTCTAAGGTTAAATACAGTATAGCATTCTAAAACTGAAGTAAAATACAGGGTTTTAGATTTTAAAAATATACCTTTTTATTTGTAAGACAAAAACGCAAAACCCTGTATGTCTAAAAATATCTTTAAAATACCTATTTTTGAAATTCATATAACTTTTATTTAGAAATTGTTTTCGTGTCTAACACAAATTGAAATATTGAACAATTACGCATTAATAGGACAACCTGAATATATTATTCACAATATATGCACGCGGCATATGTTTGTAATAATTTAATCCCGCGCCGCGTTTATATATCTTATTCACGCTTCTATTAGATATTGTAGTTTACCTAAGTATTTACTTAAACTAATTTACTCTTAAAACGTAAAAATAGACTCAAATTTTTAGAAAAACTACTTCGGCTCAGCAGACCCGACCACAACATTTGCTTCGGCAGTCAATGTGTTTTAAATGCTTTTTTTATTTATTTGTTGTTTAAGTTGTATTTAGTTATTAATATTTCAAAAATGCTTATTTTTCTTATTGATTAATCTAAAATACACACGTAATTTTTATTAATAATTGAAAATAGTACTGTAATTCTGAATTATTGATAAAAAAAGTGAAAATATGAAAACATAAATTACGACTCTACAAATGAAGTAAAATTTTACGATTAATTTCTTTTTTCTTGCAAAAACATTATATCAATGTCATAAGTTGCATACACACAATATGTCTATATACGTTGACAGCATATAGAAAACTTTTTTATTATTATTTTTACGAAAAAAAGTTATTCTTCATAAAAATGTATGCATGGTCAAACAAAAAATGCAACCACCCGATATCAAATTTTATCAGTCGGTTTTACAAGGTTTGTCAAAAAATATGATTTTGCTCAAGATAAAATACCTTTATTTTCGACAAACCCTGTATACGACTGATAAAATTTGATATCAGATGATTGAATTTTAGGTTTTAGACCATGCATAACTTTTTATGTAAAGTAACTTTTTTTCTAAAATTAATAGACCATGCAATTGTTTATGAAAAATAAGTTTTTTTCTTAAAATTCTTAAAAAAGTTTTCTGTATGCCGCCAGCTTACATAAAAATGAGATTACATTTTTTGAAAATAATTTTTACTGATACAGATCTAAATAAAGTATTGTGGGTTCTTTGGCTGTAAAACCTTTCGGTATATATAGGGTATTCCATTAAAAATTTGTTTTTGAGATATTTGCACATATTTAAAAATTCTGAAATTTTTGAATTTCGATTTTTTTTTTATTAAATTTCTAAGAAGAGTACATTATCTATTTAAAAAAAAACATCAAAAAATTTAAAATTTTATGTCCAAATAACTTTTTGGATAGTGACGTAAAATTTAGAAGGGATGCGGTATTACGTACCAATGTTGTACGTCACTGGAAAAGTTAATTAAGATAACTAATTTTTTTGCTGATAGGTGGATATTATGACACCAAAAACGTTTGCCAAATTTAGTAAAATTGTTGAGTAATAAAAAAAATATAGCCATAAATATTTTTTGGATTTTAACACCGTAATTCGGAAACGAGAAACATTTTATCTAAGCATGATTTGTTTAGTTGTCTTATTTTTAATCAGACATACTTCAGTTGTTCTATGTTCCATTCTTAACGAAACACCATGTATAGTATAATAGGTCCCTACGTAATGATACGAAGACCTTTTTCCTTTGTTGACTGGACACAAGAATGAACTACTGAGTAAATATATGTGCGAAAATATTTGTCAAGGTCAAGAACTCGTTTACTTATCATCGCTTAGTGGTTAGGGGTGATGAATTTGTTATTTTATAACAATTACCGTTTAGAATTAATAAAATTATTACGCCATCTGTTGAATAAAAGAACTATTAATTATGGAATATTGCTCCATCTGTTAATCAAAGGGATTCTTAATTTATGACACATAAATGACATCTATCAAAATTAGTTCATGTTACGAATATTGGGGGTGGTACTGTGGCCTTAACTAATATAAAATACAATAATTACTTACTGCACTCGACAAGGTCAATATAATCACAATTTGCTGTTACTGGATTGAAATACAAATTCTCTGGACAAGTCCTCAGTGTTTTTTTGCCATTAACGCAGTGATAATATTTACTGCAATCGTATGGGTAAAAAATGTCCATAGTTGCGGTTGAAGGACATAGTGGATCATTGGTAACAGAACCATCTAGAAAGAAAATTAAACAATATTAAATATCATAAAGTACACGAAAATTAGAAAAGAAAAGGAGTGTGTCCAGAAAAACATTTTTACGAGATTGTTATTCACGAATCGATAGGTGACTACAAAAGAATATTAAAACCTAACTTTATAAATCTTGACATTATGTATATTTTTTTTTTAAATCGAAACTCCCTGAAAATTTTAGTCCCTGAAGAAAATGTTTTATAATTGTAGTGAACAATATTTTCTATAATTAATCTATTGAATGAAGAATTTCTAGATCCAAGAATAGTTTTTTTTCTTTACTATTATATTTTTAGGTAGGAAGAGTTTGCACTATTTCATATAAACTGGCCAGTCTACGGCCTTAGTCGATTAGGTCTAGTTTAAACTGTATTATCAATACTTTCGATCAATGATTAAATATGAATACTAAATTTCAGTCCTAGGCAGACAAGTATCCAAATTCGTCTGAATTCGTTCGATTTCTGTAAAGACAAATAAGAATCAAATAAAATACTTACCAGTGGTAGTTGAAGTAGTTGTGCTGGTGGTAGTAGAAGAGGTAGTAGAAGAGGTAGTTAATGGTGATGACGTTGGTGTTACTTCTGTAAAAATACGATTTTACATTTGAAAATAATTGTTAATTTAATAATATAGTTATTATTATTTTCTTATTCTAACAGAGTTACAGTTGAACCTTCGGCGACGAGGATTGGATTATGATGAATAAATATATGATGAGTGAGGAGGTGTAGGGCATCCAAATAAGCTACCTGCGCTTCAGTGTCGCCATGGGAACTCTAAGAGGAGGGAAAGCAGGCTGGACCTCAAACCTGATTGAGGGGAGTCTGCAGGAACCCCTCAGGGAGGAGCAGAGGAATGCCCAGAAGGGTAAAAAATAAAGCTATATCTTAGTCTTCATTATTCCAACTTTAATTTGTTATGTAATACCCTGTCAAATACCGATTGGTGTTTTTGGATAATTTTAGTGATTCTAATCTAGCAGTTGATAGTTTCAATAATAAGTTCTACGAAATACTAGATGCTTATGTTCCATTTTGCAAAAACTTTAAACATAAATATCCAGTGTGGTACCTACACAGGAGAAATTAATCTTATCAAGAATAAAGCAAAAATTCATAATAAATAAAAAAAATATTATTGCTTATTACCAAGAGTTCAGTAGACTTAGAGCATTACTTAAGCAGAAAATTCATATGGAATGTGCAAATTATCTGGAAAATGTTCAAGCTTGCTTAGTAAATGAACCAAAAGATTTTTAGTCCTTTGTTCATAAAAAAAACTACAAGGATTCCTGGGAAAAAGTACTATGGCGATGAGTCTTACAATACTCCCCAGGCAATTGTTAATGCTTTTGGAAGTTTTTTAGAAAGGGTTTGATTCTTTGCTGGATCCTAGATTTGAATTTTAATAATTGCAACCTTATTGATATTAGTTGCGAGCTAATATATGAAAAATAAATTTTAGATGCTACTTCCAAGTTAAAGAACAAGTTCACCTCTGGCCCTGATAAAATTCCATAATTTCTTTTGAAGGATTATATAAGAATTTTACTCTATTCTTTGAAAAAATGTTTTAACTTAATTTTGAAAACCTCAACTTTTCCTGACCCTTGGAAAGTAGCCTAAGTTTGCCCCATACACAAGTCTCAAGAACGTTTTGTTAATAATAACTATAGACCCATATCCATTCACAATAATACAGCAAATATCTTGGAGTCAATTTTATACAACCGCATCTATCTAGCTACAAAAAAATATTATATCTATCTATCACCATGGATTCATGAACTCGAAATAAGTAACTTTTAGGAGTATGTAGTCAATACTTGTGTGAATCGTTAGATAGAAGAGGTCAGGTAGATGCGATATAAACGGATTTTTCCAAGGACTTTGACATATGGCTTTAACGACATATCTTTCCTTCTTTAAATCATATTTGCATCAAAGAAAGCTATATGTTTATCTGAATGGATTCTTTTAAACATTTATTCTGCAACCAGTGGGTACCCCCAGGGTACCAATCTAGGTCTCTTTTATTTTTATTATTTATCAACGATTTGTGATTCATTCGATATTAATAGATTAATGTGTAGTATTACAAAAGCAGCTAAATTTCTCCATTGATTTATTTGTGCAGTGAACACCCAGTTACATTTCATAAAAACACATTATATTAAAATAAATATCATAAAAATATAAACTCAATTTTAATAATTTTATTGTTTTCGTACGTGTTAATCTCTATTTTTGGGTACGCCACTGCGCTCTGGCTAATAGCGTCTCTGTGGTGCACTATTGTGAGTGAGCCCAAAGGAGTGAGATGTTTTCACGAAAGCATGTAGGGCGGGACATACTTCTAATAATTGATATAGAATACAGACAAGATGCTATATTGATAATAAAAGTGTCCACACTTCAGCATTAACACTTTTACGTCATATGTCATACTCGAGCTAATGGAGCTAGTCAGTTTTGGTGAGAAAAAATAGCATTTTTTTAAAATAGCGTGATTTAAATTATATAAAAACATTTTCATTTCGTCAGTCTTCAAATATAAAATTATTAACTTCAAATTAATTAAGAAACGACTCAAAGTGAGTTCACTTGTCATATTACATAATAGTGTTTATGTCGTCTCTATTTCATTCTATCTCGATGTTTCCAATCAAGCTTTCAAACTCTAAAAATCCACATGAGTCAATTTTAATTGTGTTTATTTAAAAAAGTTGTGTTTAAATAAAACTGCAACTTTAATAAATCGGAAATATGTGCGTCAATTCAACGATTATTAACGAAACACGTCTTTAAGGTAAAAATTTAGTATTATTTTTGAGGTTATGTTGTTTATTTGCAAATTACGACTGTAAACAGATCTTAGATTGTAGTTGCCAGCCAAGAAAAATTATTGTACCTACGAAAATATTTCAGGAACATAACAATTTTATATTTTTATTTGAACAAGGATAATTTCGTAGTACAATTATTTTATAATTAATAATTGTTTTATTATGTAGGTGGTTCCTAATGAATTTATAGAAATATGCTCTATTTATAAATGTTAGAGGTTCCAATAAACAGTGTCAGACTGATGCAGCGGTGAGGATTTTACTTACATTATGGATCGCTTGTATCTACAAAAAACTTGAAGCTAAACTTACATTACAGTTTTTTTTTAAATACGAAATTAAAAATAAATATTGCACTGGCTGCCCTAAATTAATTCAAGAAACTAAATAGTTGTGTCTATGTTAGGTATGTACCTGTGTTATGAAGATTAAATTAAACATTGTTATTTTTTAAGCCCTGATTATATTATTATTATACTCTTCATATAGTAGTCTGTGGAGAGCTCTATAAGAAGAAAAAGCCTACTGATTCTGAATAAATTGGGTGGTTAAAGGGGTTAAAATATTAAAAAAATCCCAACTCTATAAGGAGAAGTAGCCCTTTGCTTAAAAAAAAAGAAACCTCAATAAAAATGGGGGGTCTTAAACCCCTTTAGGGGTCGAAATAATAAAAAAACGAACAATAATATAAACTTGAAATTTTTGGAAAAATCAAGCTCTACAAGGGGATGAAGCCTATTAATTCTAAAAAAAATCCTATTGAAAATGGGAATTAAAGTAGTCTGTTAAACTGTGAAGAGTATAATTTAGAATGCCACGCATTATATATCTTCATTCTAGTTTGTATTTGCGTAATATTATGTATTATTATGGGAGTTATCTTATAAAATAACCATTTTAGTTTACTTTTTTAATTTGCCAATAAAAGGTATTTAAAAAATATATTATTTTATTTGACATGGGTGACAAATTGTGAATATGATTAAATATACAATAAAAACTGAAACATGGTAGGTAAAGTTTCATATAATAATACTTTTATTTTACACAAATATCAATGTTCAGCTTTCAACGTAACCTGATATATATTAAAAAATAATCTCAAAATATAAAGAAAAGTCTGCTGACTATAATAATGTTTATAGATGGTTTTCAACGTATTAAAAACAAAACAAATATTACAATAACTAAAATATTCATTCATTAATAGTTGTAGTGCTTGAAAATTGTATGACATTGAAAATAATAACTACACTTAATACAAACTCAAATAAAAAAAGCGATATTGGCGCTTGTACAAAGTTTTAAATCGAACTTACAAAGCTTAAAATTATTGGAAAAAGTAAACATCCACTTTAAATTACCACAAGCCGCCACTGGTAAAGTCATATCATTTTCTCGGAAGATGACTAATTTATACTTTCTTTATTTACTCAATAACATAACACAAGAACGCACTGAAAATATTAGGGATCTCGGAGTTCATTTTGATAGTCAATTATATTTTAATATGCATATAAATCAAATAATTAATTCAGCATACTGTACATATGACTTTATTTGCAGAAATTGTAAAAATTTCAGAAACATATCGGCACTAGGTATTGACGACCTAACCGCAGAAACAATTAAACAAATTGATTCGGAAATAGTATCCCCGCTAACTTACTTAATTAACCTATCTATCGAAAAAGGCATTTGTCCAAATCAATTTAAAATTGCAACAATTAAACCGTTACATAAAAACGGTGACAAATGCACACCATCAAATTATAGACCCATATCGATAACTACGACCTTTACAAAAATATTTGAAAAAATAATTAAGTCACGATTAGAATCATTTTTTGATAAAAACAATACAATTTCACCGAAACAATTTGGATTTCAAAAAAGTAAATCTACGGAGGATGCTATTGCCGAACTTACGAAAGAAATGTATTAAGCTCTGGATAAAAGTAAACCATCTCTGGCAGTGTTTCTGGATCTTGCAAAGGCTTTCGACACTGTTGATCACCAACAGTTATTGGAAGCCCTGCAAGATGCAGGAATAAGAGGCAATGCTTACAATTTGTTTAAAAGTTATTTTTTTAATAGACAACAAAGTGTAAGAATAGATAATACGAATAGCACTTACCAACAAATAAAATGCGGTGTACCACAAGGTACAGTACTTGGTCCTATTTTATTTAATTTATATATCAATAACTTGCTATTAATAAATCATCAGGGTCGGATAATTAGTTTTGCTGATGACACGGTTATTTTCTATTCTGCTGATAGTTGGGAAGAATTAAAAGTAATTGTTGAAAATGATTTAAAATACATATTCGACTGGTTTAATCATAAACTCTTAACAATTAATTTCTCTAAAACATTCTTTTTACCAATAGTTAGCTATGAAAATAATCTACCGGAATATAACAACTTAGTAATCATCAGCAATAATCAGGTGCCTTTAACTATAAGTTCATCAAATAAAACGAAATATTTAGGAATAATTATTGATAGTCATTTGCGTTGGAATCATAATATAAATAACATTGTAAATATACTAAGAACCCTATTATTTAAGTTTAAATATCTTTCCAAAATACTAGAATTACCTTACCTAAAAATGTTGTACTACGCTTTAGTTCATTCTAGAATAACGTATGGAATATTAGGATGGGGTGGAGCCTCAAATGTGTATATGGACAAAGTCGAAGTAATACAAAAATATTTTTTAAAAATTAT